GGGCGGGGCCAAAATGGCCGACCAAACTTTTACATAGAAATATATAGGAAAATTCTTTAAAAATCTTCTTCTCAAGAATGACAAAGCCATAATTCATCATATTTATATGGAAGCATGTTCAGGTAGTGTAGATTCAATTTTGTTCAAATCATGACCCCAGGGGGTAGAGCGGGGCCAAAATGGCCGACCAAAGTTTTACATAGAAATATATAGGAAAATTCTTTAAAAATCTTCTTCTCAAGAATGACAAAGCCATAATTAATCATATATATATGGAAGCATGCTCAGGTAGTGTAGATTCAAGTTTGTTCAAATCATGACCCCCGGTGGTAGGGCGTGGCCAAAATGGCCGACCAAAGTTTTACATAGAAATATATAGGAAAATTCTTTAAAAATCTTCTTCTCAAGAATGACAAAGCCATAATTCATCATATTTATATGGAAACATGCTCAGGTAGTGTAGATTCAAGTTTGTTCAAATCATGACCCCCGGGGGTTGGGCGGGGCCAAAATGGCCGACCAAGGTTTTACATAGAGATATATAGGAAAATTCTTTAAAAATCTTCTTCTCAAGAATGACAAAGCCATTATTCATCATATTTATATGGAAGCATGTTCAGGTAGTGTAGATTCAATTTTTTTCAAATCATGACCCCCGGGGGTAGGGCGGGGCTAAAATGGCCGACCAAAGTTTTACATAGAAATATATAGGAAAATTCTTTAAAATCTTCTTCTCAATCATTTTCTAAAAAACAGCAAATCCATGATTGGTCATGGGACTACTTTTGGATTTAAACTTTACAATAAAAAGCCATTTTATACTATTCCTACCCTTGGTGCTCAGGTGAGCGATGTGGCCATGGGCCTCTTGTAAATGTTATAAATAGGATATGGGTCTTTTAACAAAATATGGAGAGATGATTTTTTTTATCATTGTTCGATTTGTTTAATTCTTTTTAGCTCACCTCAGCCCAGGCTCAGTGAGCTTTTCTGATCAAAATTTGTCCGTCGTCTGTCGTTGTCGTTGTCGTCGTCGTTGTTGTCGTAAACTTTTCACATTTTCATCTTCTTCTCAAGAACCACTGGGTCAATTTCAACCAAACTTGGCACAAAGTATCCTTGGGTGAAGGGGATTCAAGTTTGTTCAAATGAAGGGCCACGCCCTTTTCCAAGGGCAGATAATCATGAATTTTTTAAAAATTAATGGCATTTTAAAAAAATCTTCTTCTCCAGAACCGCTGGGCCAGGAAAGATGAAACTCATGTGGAAGCATCCTCAGGTAGTGTAGATTCAAGTTTGTTCAAATCATGACCCCCGGGGCAAGGGTGGGGCCAAAATGGCCGACCCAAGTTTTACATAGGAATATATAAGAAAAATCTTTAAAAATCTTCTTCTCAAGAACCACTGGGCCAGGAAAGATGAAACTCATGTGGAATCATCCTCAGGTAGTGTAGATTCAAATTTGTTCAAATCATGACCCCCGGGGCTAGGGTGGGGCCAAAATGGCCGACCCAAGTTTTACATAGGGATATATAGGGAAACCTTTTAAAATCTTCTTTTCAAGTACTTCAAAGCTATGATTAGTGATATTTATATGGAATCATCCTCAGGTAGTGTAGATTCTAGTTTGTTCAAATGATGAACTGGGGGGAGGGGTGGTGGAGTAAATTCAAGCCTGATGTGCTCAGGTGAGCGCTGTGGCCCCTGGGCCTCTTGTTAAAAATTAGAGATGCAAAGGAGGTGGTTAAAAGGGAACAACTTAAAGTAATAAAGCATCGCAATTTTCTACAGAAAAAAGGGGTCAATATGATTTTCAAAACAATGAAAATTCTTTCTCTCTTTTACGTTTTACTGTACTTAAAATTTCTAGCTTTCATCTGTTTAAAGTTAACTCATTCATTGGAATTTTCAACACCATACGAATTATTTAAAGACATATATCCATGTTAAGGGAAAAGCATAGGCATCAAAACCGGGCGAAGGCCGGGCAAAGGGAGGGGGCTAAGCCCCCTACGTATTTTGAAAGATATACATCATATAGGCATTGAAAATGTGGCTAACCCTTTTTTGGTTTATTATTCCCCTTCCCCGTTTTATTTGTTAGCGACGCTTGTATAATGGAAAGATGAAGAGTAATGAGCTGAGAGGATTTTTTACCCGTCTTCTGCTCTTCTCGATGGTAGTAAATCAATTCATAAGTTTTTCGATAGATAAGTAAAAAATCCATGCTTTCCATTATTAAAATCAAAATTCTAATTTTTTTCAAAGTGCGTTAAGTGTCTCCATGGTAAAATATATTGATGTAAACTCTTAACGCACTTTGAAATTTTTTTTTTTCAAAGTGCGTTGAGCTGGTCCCAAATTTAACGCACTTTGAAAATTTTTTTCAAAGTGCATAATTTTTTCAAAGTGCGTTGCCACACAGCTGTCCACGGGCATGTGGTGGCGTCTCCATAAGAGTGAAAAATTCTCTAGAGGGACGTTAATTTGAAATTTTTGTCAGTTTTTCAATTTTGTTCAATTTCTTTTTTTCATTGTTTTTACCCTTTGCTATATTATATCTTTTCAGATATTGGAGAAGATGTGGGATCTTCTCAAGAAAATGCTGTTTAAATTTTTCTTTTGTCTATTTTTGTAAATTGAAATAAAAATTAATATGTAGATTTTATTTATAACTTTGTTGGTTATTATTTCAATATTTTATAGCATTAAACTTTGAAGAGAAATTTAAAGCACCGGGCTTTTAAAAATATAGAAAGGATGGGTTTTAACAAAATAAATAAAATATTTTAAATATTTCTTAAAAATAAAGTGAAATACTTTGGAACCTTATTTGATCGGATATTGACTCCATTATTAGTAACAAATGCATGCAACAAAAATCAGTTATACTTCATAGGTGTAGAGATCCTCCTTAATTAAGAGGGACACCTTCTCTGTTTAAACTATTTTTCTGCAAGAATAAAATAAGAAGAACCACTCCGGAAGGAATATTTGTCAGGAGTTGGTGAAGGTTGGAAGGGAGGGATTTAGGACAGGGTGATTGTTGTTCTTACACATATGTTTCATACTTGGATAGTTTGCTAGAATGGACATTAAACAACAAAATTTCTGATAGTGATGACTCTTACTGTTCTTGCTGTTGGTTATCTCCATGTTTCTTTTCAATCGTCTACTCTTTTCCCTATGTAGGAATATATTCAGTACTAGTATTCTTATCAGATGTATATGGGGTGAATATCTCTCGGTTGATTTGATACACAAGAGCTTGTTCTACGTCTGAGCAATTTCTAAAACCAGGTAAGTTATCGACAAAAAGTTGATGAATCAAGAATATCAACCGTATCGTTTAAACTGATAATTTCGTGAGTTTATTGGTCAGTACAATGACCTTGTTAGCAAATGCAATCTATCATTCATTCAAATGCTTACTTATGTTTAACCTTATTTTTAGGCCATTATTTACACACTGAATTGTCGACGGATTTTTCTGTTGCGCACCTTGTCCCATTTCTGGAATGTTTTAGAGCTCCGTGCCTTCCTTTCTCCAAAATTTGTAATGGTTAATGGACTAGGAGCTTGAGTACTGTTCACTATGTCCATATACTTCTCTTATTTTAAAAAACTATTTGCACTTTTGTGCTTTTAACGAACGCTTGTAATAATTTTTGACCTTCTTGTGTACTCTGTTTTAATATTGATTATTGAAGAAATGCGCGATAAGAGGGCAGACCTTTTTTTAGGACATCTAACAGATATAAATCTGACCTGCATTGAGAAGCGGGTAGCAGAAAAGGATGGCTGGAATGAACATGGCAGTGAAACTAAATAATGGGAAGGAAATGCCTTTTATCGGACTGGGCACATGGCAGGTTCGTATTTATTATCAGTAAAGTTGGCTTTATATGCTTGATCCTTTATTTATAACGAATAGGTAGTTTTCTTATCAGGTTACAAGAACGTGACCTGCAGACTCTTGTACATAAGTGTTAACATTATTGTTGTGAGATAAAGATTAAGGAGTAGAAAAATGTGCTGGAAAACGGATATTAACTCCATACCATTTATCATCAAATCAAACACCCTTTCGAGGGACCCTTCTCTGTAAGTTCATTGTCCCTCTTATGGGATATTTTTGGGCCCCACCTTCTGCTGCATTCTGAAATTGTAAAATCTGTAATCTTATTTGGCATTTGTAATAAATGCTCTATATCACACACACACACCTCTTTATTATTTAACATGCTGCAGAACAGGGCTGCAAATGTGCTTTAGGTTCACATGAACCGAATTGTTCATCAGTTTCAGTATTTAAGAGCACATAAGTGTTAACATTATTGTTGTGAGATAGAGATTAAGGAGTAGAAAAATGTGCTGGAAAACGGAAATTCACTCCATACCATTTACATGTATCATCAAATCGAATACTTATCCCAAAACAATCCTTTTTTGTTAAGGGTTTTCAATACTCACAATTCTCTGGGTTAAAAGTGGAGAAACTACATCTATTTTCAATAAATATAGCTATAATACGAGGGTCATTCATTAAGTAATACAACTGGGTATAAAAAATATGACGCAACCTTAAATTCAAATAATTTATTACATCAATCCTTCGAAATATTCCACATTCACTTTAATACACTTTTCAAGTCTTTTTATCCAAGACCAAAAAGCCTCTGCATACTCGTCTTTATGTATACCTAAAAGGCACTGATAGACGGCACTGCCAATGGCCGATCTGGAGCCGTAGCGTCAGGAAAGAAAAAAAATTCGCATGGACTTATCTGGCGAATATGGCGGGTGTTGCAACTCTGTAACTCTTTCATTCCCCAGAAACGCTTTTACCTCTTTGACGTTTGTCTGCGACAGCATTGTCATGCAACAGGTAAATTCCACAAAGGACTGTCTTTGGCGCTCTTTTGCGGAACAGATGTTTCACTTTGTTCAATATTCTATTTTTGTAAAACAAGCCATTAACGGTTCTTCCTTTGGGTACAGCGAATTTGAACGACCGCACCTCTAGAGTCAAAGAAAATGCTGTATTCAAATGCTTTGAACTCTGGCATCTTCTTACAATAACGGGTCTTCTAGATCTGCTGCATTTTCTAAGCCATTTTCTCTTGTCACAATTCTTAGAAGATTTAAGGAGATCTTTCACCATTTTCACCGTGAGAGAGGGTGAATGGAACTTATAGACCGTGAAAAGAAAATCTAAAAGTACTATGCATTTCTTACGGAAACCATAAGTTGCATTACTTAACATAGGCGTCGGAACCGGGGGGGGGGCTAGGGGGGGGGGCCAATTTTTTTCCAAATATATAATTAGTATAGACCTTGAACATATCTTTAGGTTTAAATTTAGCCGCCCACTTTCTACAGGTACGTGTTAGGTTAAAAATGGGGAAAGTGGTGGTGTTTGGAAAAAAAATTTTTGGTACCGAAGTTCGAACACCCCCCCACCCCCCCACGAAATAGGATTTTCGTGTTTGGGAAATGGACATTCTCCTTTTTTTTTTTCTTTGCTTGTCAGGTTTTTTTTGAAGGTACAAAAGAATTTTTTTTTACACTTAGCCCCCCACTTTCAATTTGCTTCCGACGCCAATGCTTAATGAATGACCCTCGTATAAAGAGGGTTCCTATGTTTCTTAACCCATAGACATAGGTAAACAGAAGCATATGCCGATATTTAAAAATCCCATATTTTTATTAAAAATGCAGTAATTTTTTTTTTTAAAACGGGTTCAAATACATTATTCTGATGCGAGAAGTTAAAAAATAATTGTTTCTTCATAAAAAAAAGTTTATAGTTTGAATAACAGGGCAAACATTTTACATCAGAATTACAAAAAAGAAAAATATTAAATGAAAATACATCAGAAGGAGTTATTGCCGTTGGCATTTTTTCGAACAGATTGATCATTGATAAAAAAAATGAAATTATTCAAATTTTATATTGTTTTGCTAAAAATATTTTATGTTACACTTATTGAAAGGCATTCGTCCAAAAGATACATTTTCTTTGGGTGTGTATTTAAATTACTTACAGATTTTGTGATAATCTATGACATCATAGGAGTATGAAAATACCAGAAATGAAATTTACCCCACCTCTGTTGATTTTTCCGTGAAATCCTGGCTTACGATTGGTTGAAGTCTGTCACGTGAAGGCAGTGGATTACTTATACCCGGTCAGTTGTAAATCCATACCCGGTCAGTAAAATCCATACCCGGTCGATGTATTACGTCACAAACACAAACGTGACGTCATAATAGGCACAGTATAAGCCCGATAAAGCATTTAGCAGAGAAAACCATTTATAAACCACAGATAAAACGTAAATGTTTCATCGGTGGGGTAAATTCGTTACATAGTCTTTTAGTGACAGGGTATTGGATGATACCTGGTTAGTAAATTTCATACCTGACTCGGCTCCGCCTCGCCAGGTATGAAATTTACTAACCAGGTATCATCCCATACCCTGTCACTAAAAGACTATGTAACTAATATTACCCAATATTAAACCTTTTTTCAGAGTCCAAAAGATGAGGTTAAGGCAGCTGTACGGGCTGCTTTGGATGCCGGGTACAGACATATTGACACGGCCTATAATTACATGAATGAAGATGCAATAGGAGAGGTTCTTCAGGAGTATATTAAGAGTGGAAAAGTGAAAAGAGAGGAATTGTTTATCGTTACAAAGGTATCTAAGAACAAAATGAATGTATATTTCATGAATGAATGCTATACAACTTAAAGTTTTGTAAAGGTTTTCGCTATTTATATACTAGTTACCAGAATGATTTTTATATTTAAGTAAAATTTTTAAATGCAATCAATAGGTATATTATTAAATTGGAAATATTAAGGAATCTATGTATTAAAAAAATATATCATGCTGTACATTGTTTGGACAGGGTGTTTCAAAATGGAAGAAACAGAAGTATTCCCCTTAAACATGTATTTTTGTGTTTGTATAACAAAGATTTTTTTTATATCAGCTTCCAATGATTCACATGGACCCAAAACTGGTGAAGAGATCCATTGAAATAAGCCTGAAGAAACTACAGTTATCATATTTAGATTTGTACCTGATTCATCTCCCTATACCTTT